AGCATGGAGGGTAGGGGTTCAGCGAGGGGATTGTATATGGGCAAAAGTTCAATAAGCCTTTACTTTGATGCTTTATTTTTGAAAAATTGTAAAATTGCTGAATATCCCAGAAACCTATTTTATTCTCTACCTGAAACCAATGGTGGAGAAAAAAGGACTCAAGTCTGAACTTAAGGCTATCCTTAATTCCATGGCTCCAAAGGGGAATGGTCATGCGCAACTTCAATTATACATCATCTTCATGATCAGATATAAGACTGAAAATGAAGGAAAACCCTATATGACCAAGAACCAATTATACCAGAACCTGACAAGAAAGTCAATAAACTAAAACTACTGCAATTTACACATAACACCCTATATGGATGACAGTCCTTCCTCCTGGCTTTTTACTACATAGAATTTACCCATGTTCTCTTCGTGAACTGATTCCTAGCCCTTAGTGTTAATCATGGTTCAGTGCTGCTCATTTAGCTATCTCACTGCATGTCTGTCTTTTGAGCTCCCAATGAAAAAAAAATATATATATATACATATATGTGTATATATATATATATATATATATATATATATATATATATATTCCACAAATTTACTTCTAATGTTGTCTGAAACACTCTTAAGTTAAAATAAAAACTTGGAGAAAATGATACTTTAGTACAAATATTACTGGTCTGATTACTGGCCAGACTGATATTAAATTATAAAAAAAAAAATTTACTGTCTCTTGAGTGCAGAAGGCTCACTAATAGTAGGATTTTGTCACTTCAAAAACCATGCCTCAACATATAAATGATCAAAGTATAGGGATCATTCATAACAGAATTACAAACTATTAATAATCATATGAAAGAATCCTGCAAATCACTAATAAGAAGAAAAATGCAGAACAAAACAATACTGAGATTTTACCAAACACCAGCAAATTGGCAAAGATGAAAAAGGTTAGGGATAGATGCTGTTGGAATGGTTGTAGGAAGATAGACATACTAGTGGAGCTGCGAATTAGCATAACCATTTTGGAAAGCAATTTGGAATTAGCTAATAAAGTGGCTAATATAAAGTCTATAACTTTTGACCTAGAGATTTTACTTTATAACATATATATCTCCAAGAAAGTCATGGGTAAACAGAAAATTCTCATAGATTGCCTCCAGAAGCAAATGCAAAATGCTTTGTTTGGTATTCAAAAACCCTTTATAATTTAGGCCAATCCTACCTTTCCAAAATTCTTACACCTTATTCCCCAAAACATATTCTTCCATCTAGTAGGTTTGGCCTCCTGGCTGTTCCACAAAGAAGACCCTCTATTCGAATTCAGGGCATTTTCTCTGGCTGGCCTCCACACTAGGTACCCTTTCTCTCTCTCATCTCTTCTGACTACTAACCTCCCCGAGTTCCTGTAAGTCCCAACTAAAATCCCACTTTCTCTAAGAAGCCCTCTAATCCTTTCAAGTACTTTCCCTCTTTTAATGATTTCCTATTCATCCTGTATTTAACTTGCTTTGTATATATTTGTTTGCAAGTTGTCTCCCCCATTAGATTGTAAGTAACTTGAGGGCACAGACTGTTTTTCACTTCTTTATTTTTATCCCCAGTGTTTAGCACAGTGCCTGGCACGTAATAAGCATTTAGTAATTTTTCAAATTGAATTAATATATACCAAAATATTTATAGTAACACTTTGTAATATCAAAGAAAATGGAAATAAAGTAGATATTCATTGATTGGGAGAAATCAACAAACAAACTATGGTTCACTGATTCAATTCCATAAGTATTTAATAAGTTCCTACAGTATGCCAGGTACAGTGCTGGGGGTGCAAATAAGAAAAACAAAGGTAATTCCTGCCCTCAAGGAACTTAACAATCAAATAGCAGAAGACAAAACTTAGAAAGTGGTGAGAAGAATCTTTTTTTCATGGACTTGAAACCTGCAGAGTTGTAGGTGCAAAGAACAGGAGGCTGGATACACTTTCTACCCTCTATAAGGGAAAGCTTTGAGAGGAATTTAGTACTCTAGCCTCCAGCTCACCAATAAGAGGAGAGAGGAGACTGAGTGATATGGAATTCAAGGCTTGAGTTAATAGTATGGTAATTAGATTAGAAGTGATGAGTTTATCCTGGGAAGGGTATCTTGAAACCAGGTAGAGCTGCAGATGGAGAGTGGAAGGAATAGATATAATGCAATATTTCTGTGTCATAAGACGTGACAAGCATGAAAAATTAAGAGAACCATGGAAAGATGTGTAGGAAATGATTCAGAGTAAAACAAGCAAAGCCAAGAAAGCAATATACATATGGACGGTAACAATCTGAATGGAAAGCATAAGATCTACAGAAAAATAGAAAGTAAATATTTCAGAATTACAAAGAACAAGCATGACCCCCAAGGAGTGACATAAGAAGACTTCTCCCCCCACTTCTTTGCAATGGTAAGAGGTCCACAGGTGTACAACTTTGCATATATTTTCAGACTTTTGGTTGTAATTTTTTTTTCTATGTTAATATGGGAGCACTCACTGGAAAGAGGGAGAGATAGTTATGCTGGGGGAAATAACAATAAAAATATGGATGACATAAAAACAATGAAAACAAATAATAGCTTTTAAAAGAAGACAAGAAATATTTTGTAATAGAAATTCATAAAACAAAGAAAAAATAACTACATCCAAGTGGCAGTGACATGATCAAAGAGTCACAAATGTATTATATAATTAATGATTCTTTGAATGTGAGATAATTTTCCAGTGAATGAGTCACCAATGGGTAGACATAATACTGAGTACTGTTGAAGTCTCATAATAAATAAAACCAAGAGACAGTGGAAATTGCAGCTAAGTGGAAAAGAATTAATTAATTCATTAATTTGAAAAAATACCATCATTAATGAGATAAATAGATTGGAGGAAAGCAGTTATAGCCCAATTGCACTCTCCCCTTCAACCATAGCTGAAGCATGGCATTTAATTTTATACACCACCATTTACATGGTGTTCTCTTCAAGAAGGAAGGAGAAACCACAACCTCTGTCTGGCTGTGGAAACTGGTAGTCCAAGCTGTCCCACAGGGCATCCAGCTGGCCAGTTCCATTAGGGCAACTCAGCTCTTCTTTTCTCCTCTCTCCACCCTTACCTGAGGGTGCTCTGGCCAAAGGAAGGTAAATTTTGATGGCTGAAACCTACCTCGATATTTTGAAGTTTACTGGCTAGATTTCTTTCTTAAAGACCTTGCCTTAAACCCAATTCACTCTGGCTCTCATTAATTGACCCACAATAAGTCCCTGCCCAAGCACCACTTAATGGTTATTTTTTTAGGCCCAGATGGCTCAGAGTGAATGTAAATAGTAATTATTTCTCTTTTAGCCAGAAACCCTGAGGGCCTTCCCCTCTAGGTTCAGTGTTTTGTTTTGTTTTGTTTCCTTTCCTTTTGTTTGTTTTTGGATTAAAGGAGCCATCTCTTCACTCACTTAAACAGCCCTAATTACTGAATGGGCATTGCCTCAATCAAAGTGAGAACTCAGAAAGACCGTAGCTCTAAAAGGCCAAGATCTCCCATTGCATCTTAGGCCATCTATGGTTGTCCTGATCTATATCTGGCTACTGGGCCCACAATGGCTCTGGAGAAGAAAGTGAGGCTGGTAACTTTGCACAGCCCTCCCTCACTCAAATCCAATTCACATGCAAGTCATGGCATCATCTTTCTGATGTCATGGTCCTCTTCAAGAACAAAGGACAAACACAACCATCCTTTAGAAAGTACACATTTTTTCAAATTCAGGGAAAGATAACTTCCATTGTGATGGGACTAAATAAAAGTCATGCTATATGAGAATGCATTAAGGTAATTGTAGATCATAGGAGCAAGGTACAGTATAAACAGCATGGGATTTGAAGTCACACAACTCAGGTTTGAATCCCAGCTCTACAGTTTACCAGATGTATGTATAGACCAGACACTTTATCTCTCTTTGCTTTAGTTCATCTATAAAAGGGTAATATTCCTGTAAGGTTCTAAATCTATAATCCCTCAATCCTATGTATAACCTAGGAGTACAAGACTTATTGAGGAAATGATTATTGTCTTCATACATTCAAAAATCATATGGAAAAGGGAGTAGATTAGGATCAATGGATTTAAGTAAATCATAATTTTCTCTACAACATATACTAAGTCCCTTTCAACTCTGAGAGGATTTGGGAGCAAAGAAAGATGGAAAAAAGGAAAGGAAGGAAGGAAAGAAGAAAAAAGAAAGAGTGAGGGGAGGAAGGAAGGAAGCAAGGAAGGAAGGAAGGAGAGAAAGAAAGAAAGAAAGAAAGAAAGAAAGAAAGAAAGAAAGAAAAAAGAAAAAACTTCAGAATTGGAAGTAAACTCAAAGGCCATCTAATACAAAATATACCTGACCAGGAATTACTTCCACAACACTTGTTGCAAATATTTATCTGTCTTCTATTAGAACATCTCTAGCGAAATAGAATATACCACCTCTTAAGGCAGCCCATTCCATTTTTAGACAGCTCTATTAGGGAATTTTTTGTTGGTGGTGGTGTGGGGTTTTTTTGTTTGTTTGTTTCTGTTGTTTTGTTTTGTTTTTCTTATGTTAAGCCGAATAGCCTAAAGAATTAATAGAACAAGGGAACAGGAGGGTAACAATAGTAGAAGTTAATATTTTTAAAAAAAAGGTGTAATTAATATTAGTAAGGAAGTGGTATAGTTGTAGGAGTAGAATCTTGTGGTCAGAAAGGGGAAGTTTTTGGATCTAGTGTCGTCTTAATAACTGCACAGTTTAAAATGTATACAAGTAAGGGAGATGGGAGGAAGGTGTCTCATACCTTTTTTTTTTAAGAATTAAGATAGACCCTCCTAACTTAACTTAACTATAATGACTTAAATTAAGACAATTCCCTGTGTCAAAGCAGCAGCCTTTCGTCTCGGTGTTTCAGTAACAAGGCCCAGGGCATAGCTAACTCTCTCCCCCTACTGATTTCCTTATAACATTACCAGTTTTCTTCCACAGAATTTCCCATGATCTAGGTTGCTTTTCTCTTCTTTCTTGTCCCAAAGAAAGCATACAATGCTTCCACTGAGCTTTGTTGTTATTACCTCTGTTGTTACGACAACAACAATAGCAGCCTCAGCAACAACAAAGCTTTAAGGAGTTAGCATAATACTATGGAAACACCAGATTTGGAATCTGAAAATATGGATTCGAATCCTGCTTCTGCTACTTACTACTTGTGTGACCATGGGCAAGTCATTTATCTTCATCTGGGCCTCAGTTTTCTCATCTCTAAAATAGAGTTGTACTAGAAATCTTCTAAGGTCATTCCCCAGCTCTAAACTTTCAGGCCTATGGTCCTACTAAATATTACAAGGAAGTTAGGGGGTTGACCTGCTAAACACAAGGAAAGTTTGGAAAATTTTAACAGCAATGCCTCATTCCAGAATTTAGACTTTTATTTACTTGATTTCTCTATGTGATTGAACTGTTTAAAAAAAGAAAAAGAAAAAGAAAAAGTCTTGTGTTGTCCTCAGTCCACCTCCCACCCCCAGAGTCAGCCAGCCTAATGTTGCCTGGGAGGGATGCTTGTTCCAGCTGTAGATTTCTAGTCGACAAAAACTTAGTTTGAAATACTGGGTTTGGCAGATTAGGAAGGTTTCTCAACCATTCTAAAATCTTTTACTACAAATCTTGCCTTAAGATGCAGATACCCTGGGTTTGTGAGAGATATCCCCTTGTATTATTCCATCAAAGGTCTATCAAATCCTACCCTGAGCCTCAAGTTTTTTACTTTGGTCCTCTTCACCTTTGAAAGTTTTATTTGCTTTGGATTCATAGAAATCTTGTTCTCTCAGACTCTCTGGACTAGAAATATTCCTTTGTAGAGCTTTCAGAGTTTCCTCTCCTAGGTTTTGAATTTCTTATTCTAACTATTTGCATCATTCTTCCTTCAAGGAATTTGAATCGCCCCTGTCTCAACATATTCCCTTTTTATTTGACCTAGATCCTGTGTTTTGGTTTATGTTTCTTAAACAAATTCACTAGCTGTGTCTGACTCTACTATTTGTGATGAAATTGGCTTCTTCCACCTACTGCCTTAGATTAGCATCTAGATGCAATTTTTTTTAGAGGCCATGTCTCCCAAGACCATGAAGCTTCATTTGCTTTCATACTCATTCCTGATTATTTTGTCTTCGGGGTGTAGATGATAAGGTCCCCATAGGGTGAGTTTCTATTCAGGTTCAAAACTTCTTTCCTCCTTTGTTAACCTATGGTCAAGTGCTCCCTTCTGAGACTTAGCTAGCTCCCAGATCATCAGGATAACTGAGATAATTGGCAACTCACCCTTCTCCACTCATTTCTCTGTCTATCCCAGAGTTTCAGATACCCTCATATCCTTACCCCTTTTCAAGGAAGCAATGTTTCCTTGAATACAGTTCAAAAAAGAAATAAAAAAAATTTGGATATACAATAACAACCACTTCCTCTCATGGTTAAAGGACAGGTCATGCATCACCCACGCGACCACTCTCTCTCTCTCTGTCTCTCTCTCTCTCTCTCTCTCTCTCTCTCTCTCTCTCTCTCTCTCACAGACACACACACACAAACACACACACACTTTCAGAAACTCTCACTACTGTCTTACTTAATGTTGCCTAAGAACTCCCAATAAATCCATTAGTTAAGAAAAATCCCAGCTCTAATATGGACAAATGCCCAAAATTTTTCCCAAAAGAAGTGTACTTCACTCTCATTTGTTATAAAGGAATGTAATATTTAATTTAGATAGTCCACTCAGGATGTATAAATATATAGCAACTGTAAACATATAGTCTCAAAGTCGTGAGAAGGGCAATGCGAATGCTCTGACAGAGTTGTGGTGTTTGTTTGTTTGTTGTTTGTTTCTCCCAGTTACCAGGGAGGATACAGCATTTATAAATGGTTAAATCTGATAATTTTCAACATTTTTTTGATTCTTCAGTAAACATGAAATTCAGTCATTTTTCATACATGTAAATGAACCATAAGAATATCAACTCCAAAATATGAATTAATCAGAAATCTAAATGTAGGAAAAACATTTTTCCTAAAATGTGTTCAAAAGACAGTGTTAGAGACAATCATGGAATGTCTCTTATCTCCCATAATCATACATACATTTTCAACATGTTGATTTAATACTTTATTTAACTTTCAATATTTTGTAGAAATTTTGTATTTAAAATATTTTTTTTTTAGAAAATATAGGGAGTAGCAATGACTGGGCTAGAAATGCCACAAAGGACAGGGGACCTGAACATGTAAAGATGTCACAGTTCTCAAGACCTCCAACTTTGACAAAAAGGAATTAATAGCTATAAAGAGTATTATGACAGCAGAACTTCTCAAACATTTGGCATGTTATTTGTCCAAAACCACAAAATGATGTGTAAGCAGCTCAAGAAGATCTCAGGAGAAATAATTGGTTTTTACTCGCTGGAAAAGAATCTTACAATTTGTCATATTGGAAATCTTCCATTCTTTTTTTTTATTGAAATTCATTTTACAAGTGTGAAATATGGAAAGCTCCCTGCTATCCTGCAATGTTATATATAAACTGTGTATTCCTAAGACACAAGATAATTCAGAAAATGGAGAGGGGAGAGGAAGTACTGCACACTATGTATTACTTTTCCAAATACCCTATACACATAGCACACTGAATGATGTCAAAGTGATTTCTGTCATTTGTTTCCTGAAACAGTAAGTGATGCTAAATTTATATTTACATACCTTTTATCCACCTAATGAGAGAAAAATAAAATTATTAAAAATCCTCTTATCCTTTTCATTTATTAAAAATAGTAGCACTTACTTCAAACTGATACCAGTTTCCTAATACTTGGAAACATTCAGGTAATTGATTATTTTCCCTTCTGTGAACTCACATTTCCATCTATATACTATAGATTTTAACATTTTATATATGTGTGTGTACATATATATGTATATGTATAGATACACATGCTTACATATATGTGTGTATACATACATATATATGTATATGTATAGATACACATGCTTACATATATGTGTGTATACATATACATACACATATACATATAAAATATTTTTATCAGTATTTAATTGTTTCAAATGTGTCAGCCTGTTTTTCCCAGATAGGAAAGTTCTTTAAGAGCCATACCTTATCTAGATCTTGTATCAGTGCTTACAAAAAAGTGTGTGTTTAAGAAACACTTGTGGGTTGAATTTTTTTTTCTTTTTAAATTTTGAACTAGATAGAAAAATCCATACAGTTGAAATGTGAAAATAAACTAATGTGATCTAGTTGAATGATTACTGAAGTATATACTGAGCCCCTGGGGTTTTTGTCCCAGAACTACCACCAAATAAGTTACCTTGGAAAAGTCACTTTGCATCTAAATGGTTAATTTCCTCATATGCAGAATGGAGATTTGAGATAAAGGCAATATTACATAAATTTCTGACAAATGCGTAAACAGAAATGCTGCTAGGATTTAAATACATAAAATGCAGTAGAAACAGAATTGAATTGTGTAGTACCAACTTTGACAATATAGGTGCCATTTGGTGCTGTCTCAAAATTTTTAAATTTTTGTATTAGACCTCCCTAAGTGTATTGCACTCCCTGGGGGAATTCATCATTCTCATATTTAAGACCAGGGTCTATTCTTAGACACTACATCCTTTCCAAATCCATCTTACCTTTTGCATCTTATCTTCAAACTCCAGTAATCATGAAGACATTTTCTGTACCCTTAAAATCCTGAGTTTGTCCCCTCTCCATCCCTACCCTACCAGGACTTCAGAAACTCTAACAATGCTTCCTAGATAACTTCTGGTGTTATCATTTGTCCACATAAGAATAACCAGGAGTATGCAGTGGTTGTCAAGTTTTTCAATCTGGGAGAGACTCTCCATGACATCCCGGACGTGAGCTCTGGGAGGACAAGAATCCTCATTTTTTTTTGTTGGGAGTTTTACAACTACCTGCCTGGGTACTCTACAGCAGGAAGTCACCAATCATGGATACTTAGTGATTCAAGCTTCATGTCCAGATGACTTCTCATTTTGTAGCATCTATGGAGCCAACTTATTTCTTGTAACAAAATGTAGTTAAACTGTGTTGTACTAGAAGTTAGTAGATATATGCATTCCCATTCCTCCCAGCCCTTAATATTTGTTAAGTGAAATCAGGTAACCTAAATAACCTCTCTGAGCTTAGGTTTTCCCCATATGAAAAGGGAAATAGTACCTTTCTTAAATGGCTTCTGTGACTCAAACTAATGTATGCAAAGTGCTTTATAGCCCTCAAAATGTCACATAATATTATTAATAGTGCACAAAAAACCCCAAAAGTTTCTGCCTACTGAGAATGTAGCCTAGTAGCTATTTGTTTCTGTCATTGTCGCCGTCGTTGTTGTTGTTGTTGTTGTCACCAATATCCAATAGTCTTTCTTCTCTTCTTTGTCTTTCATTCTTCTACCCTATGAACTACTAATAAAAGTTTACATTCCTCTTTGCCTTTTGTCATTCTTTTTCTCCTTTATTTTATTCCTGAAGTGCTTAGATTCACTCACTAAGCACTTCATTCTCTTGGGCCACATGGAAAGCAAAAGATTTCCTTTTTCTTCCTTCTAGGAAGGAGACAACTTACTCTCTTTTCATTTGTGTGTTACCTGGTACTGATGGAAATTATATATCCATATCCATATCCATATCCATATCAATATCCATACACATATATACACACGTGTATGTATGTATATATGTACATATATATGTATGTGTGTATATGCCCATACCTCCCACTCTTTATAAGTCATAGTAAATTCTCATTGCCTTCCATACATACTTGAAAGAGATTCCTTATCTAATCATTGAGACTAACAACTATGGTTAAACTGCTTCCTTGCTCTGCTTTTTCATTATACTGAGGGTTTAGTGGATAGTCAATCAGTCAATTTATTAAGCTTCTACTACGTACCAGGCACTGTGCGTATCACTGAGTTTTCAAAGAAAAGTAAAGGACATACCCTGGCGTCACGGAGCTCACACTGTAGTGAATGTGGCCGGATT